TCAGGTGAAAGAGGGTGGAACCTGGACCAGGGCTGTAGCTGTGAAGATGAAGGAAAACGAACCATTTAGAATCTATTTTGGAGGTTGAATCAATGGTTTTGGGTAATGGATTGAATGGTAATGTTAGGCAGGAGGAAGTAAAAAAATGATCTTGTCTCAGAGGGAGGAGAAAGATAATGCACAAGTATCAAGGACAGAAGCAGCCAAGCCAGGAGGGCAAGTATGTCTGGGAAAGAGATGGTTGTCATAGTAGTGGTCCCTCCCACGGAGCTGTCCATCAGAACCTGGGAATGTGAAAGTTGGATTGATAACAGAGGTTGCTTCCTGGTGACAGTGTCTGAGTCATTTCTGACAACTCTGCACCCCAAAAACAAGCAGCATAATAGCTTGCATGATCTAGACAGACAGCCTGAGTGAGCACTGGGGTAAGAGGGTGAGAATGGAAATCCGATGTGAAATACTGAGTTTGAAAATACATTTTTAATGATACACACAGTACTAGACATTTGAAATACCACCCATATTTGAACTTATTTGCAGATAGTATTAGAACTATAAGTTAAGTGTCAGAAATGTCACAGGTTAGGTTCTCTAGGAATCAGGTTCTGAGGCAGAGATTAGGGTACAGGAGGTTTATCGGGAAATTCTCTTAGAAAGGACACCAGTGGAAGGGAAGAGAAGGAAGCAGGCTAGAACAGAGGACAAAGCTGAGCTGTGATGTAGTCTAAATGGAGGTCTCAGCTGGCCCAGTAAGGATCCTAAAAACTAACTTTCAGAGTTACCCCAAATTGGGGTGGTGTGAGAGGGCCAATGTAGAGGGGCCTTTGCACCTCCGTGTCAACTACTCATTAGAAGTGAAGCAGGACCTTGAGGGAGGTAGCTGTCCTCAGCTATGGCAGTTTTCTTATCTCCTCACAGGGACTGAGACCCAAGAGCTGTCTGATAGCAAGATTCCCAGAACCTGGGAGAATAAGTCCTTCATTCCTGAAGGGGAACCTGAGTGACACATCACACTGTTCTGGGAAGGACCTTAGACATAACTTACTTTATAGGTAGAGTCTGAGGTTCTGGGAGGGCAGTGGTTTACAGAAAGGATCCAGGTCTCCTGACCCCGGGCAGTACCGTGATTTCCACTACACAATGCTGTTCTAGCCTAAAAATGTTAGTGGTGTATTTGAAATGGGTTATTTGGGTAATGATGATTGGTTGAGGAATTCTTTAATTAAAAATAGAAAATTGGTTTTCTTTTGAGAGTTTAGGGGAAAAACAGAAGTTGTTTTTTGGCTGAGTAAATTAGAGCAGCTTGCTGCAATTACTTGGTTATTAGTTTGGTTTAAGATGTTGGTTGAAGTTGAGGTCAACATTAAAAACAGAACCTAAGAGACCTCCCAGTTCCTCCCCAGCAGCAAGTGCTGACCTCTGAGGTGCATTTCTAGCCCAGCAGGGGACTGTGTTCCCAACTATAAAGTGAAAGGGATCAGGAATTGATTCTCTACGATGGCTGTCAGGTCCCCAAATTCTGGCTGAAGGAACAATGAGAATTGGAAGCATATTATAAGGGCACAGCTACTCTGTAGTTATTTCTACTCAGGAGTTTCACTGGCAGTTGCTCTCACTCATTTGCCTTACCATGGATCCAGCATGAAGGATGTGGAAAGAGAAGTTCAGTGAGTCTGATTTCCTGACGTGTAATAAGAACAGAACTCATTAGGAAATTATAATAATTAACCTTTGCCTGCTAGATAGATACCAATTACCAAATACTATCCTGGTGGAATAGAAAATGGCGTCATAAACCTGTATTCTTGTCCTAGCTCTATACCAACTAAGTGTATGACCTTGGACAAGTCACTCTACCTCATGGACTCATTGGTAAATTCCTAAGTGGAACTAAATGATCTATTCCTGCTTTAAATTACTCTGCTTTGTCTTAAACCCAGACTCACCCATGCACCTTCCAGAAAAGCCTAATTTCCTCCCTTGTCATTGATAATATAGCTGTTTGTTACCTGCAACAGTCTGAAAACATTGAGTGGAAAATTCCAGAAATAAACAATTCGTGAGTTTAAAATTGTGTGACACTCTGTGAAGCATGATGAAATCATGCAGTCAAAGCAGTCCCACTCCACCCCACCCAGGATGGCATATCCTTTGTCCCAAACATCCACACTGTATATACCTTCCCCCAGGAGTCACTTAGCAGTCATCTCGGTGATCAGATCCCGAGTTCCAGTATCAAAGTGCTTATGCTCAAGTAGCCCTTATTTTACTTAACAATGGCCCCAAAGCACAAGGGTAGTGGTGCCAGCAATTTGGATGTGCCAAGTAGAAGACACGAAATGCTTCATTTAAATGAAAAGGTGAAAATTCTCAATGAAAGAAGAAAAAATCACATGTTGAGAGTGCCAAGATCTCTGGTAAGAATGAATCTTCTCCCTGTGAAATTGTGAAAAAGGGAGAAGAGATTTCTGCTGCTTTCACTGCCGCACCTCAAACTGCGGAAGATAAAACCACAGAGCGTGTTAAATGCTTAGTTAAGATGGAGAAGGTATTACATTTATAGGTGAAGACATGAAACTGAGAGAGACCACATTCACATAACTTTTATTACAGCATTTTTTAATAATTTCTCTATTTTATTATGTTATTGTTGTTAATCTCTTGCTGTGTCTAATTTATAAATTAAACTTTATCACAGGTATGTACGTACAAGAAAAAACATAGTATGTATAGGGTTCTGTACTCTCCTCAGTCTCAGGCATCCACTGGGGGTCTTGGAACACACCTCCCATGGATAAGAGGGGACTAGTGCAAATAGTAAAATCTGGCCATAATTGATTTACCATGTTCTCTGTCTTGGTATGTTCTTTACAAGCATTCTATTATCGAATCTTCTGAATCACTCTGTGTTCTTAGTTGTAAACAACAGAACCCACTCCAGCCAGTTAAATTACAAAAGCAGCTCACAGACTTGCTGGGAGAGTCAGAGATCAAGCTCAGAGGCGGTGCTAACAAGGCCCAGTCATACCTGTGGGGCTGCTCCCACAGAGACAAGGGAGTGCCGCCACTCCTGGTCACAGGAAGCTCACATGCATGCTGATGCTACTGAGACTGGACACCAAAGCATTGTTGTTTCTGCCAGCCATGTCTGATGTCTCAGACAACACTCGGACCAAAAGGTAGATTCTGCATAGTGCCTGCTTCCTCACAGTGCTCATTTCCAAATTAAAGTCACACGGGGGCACCTCTGGCAGAGCCCAAAGCACACACCAGTGCCCTCATGACAAGGGAGGCTGGGAAAGTGAATTCTGGGTTCTCCCTCAGGAAGGAGGAATCATGATGTGAAATTTTCTTCATGTATACAAAATGTTTCAACGACGTCGAGCAACCACAAACATGACAAATATAATGGCCCACACTTTGCAGAGAAAAAATGTGAGGCTTAAACTCAGAAGGCCCATAACTTAGCCAGTTATACCACTGGTAAGTACTGGTAATGAGATCTAAACCCAGGTCTGTCCCAATGCTAAGATCCTGCTCCTCAGCCCTCTACTATTCAGGGTATTTTATGGTGATTAAACTTCACAATTAAGAAGTAAAAGAAAAAGAAAGCCTCTAATTTGCCAAATGAATGTGCATTCCCAGCCTTTTCTCTCACCATCAACCTCTCCCCTCTCCCTCCTTCACTAAATGGAAAGGCGAGCGCACATGTGCGGTCTGTGCCACTCAGGGCTCTTGGTTGCAAACAACAGAAACCAACAATGGTTAATTTAAGCATAAAAGGAATTTGTTGCAAGTATTTTAACACCCTCAAGAATTACAAATGCCTAGGGAACCAAACCCATGAAATGTGTTAGTGACTTAAGCCACAGCCAGCCTGTACACCACAGCAACATCCTGGCTAAAGAGCTGCCCCTCCATCCCCCCAGCCCCCACAGCTAGACAGTGAACACTGCCACCAGTACCCCTGCTGACAGACACAGCACGAGGCCATTGCTGGGATCACCAGCAGAATAAGTTCACTATTCTGTGTTTTTGTATCACTTGCTCTTCATTAAAAACCAAGCCTGTCTGATACTCCACTAAGTGCTTTATTTGGATTACCCCATTTCATGCTCATAGGATCCCTTTAAGCTAAGTTATATAATTTTTTAAAGGGAAATCATATTATTATCCCTATTTTAAAGGTGAGCAACTGGAGCTCAGAGATGTTGTTTAAGTTGCCCAAGGCCACACAGTAAGTAGTAGAATGGGGACTTGAAACTGAGGAGTTCTGATTTCAGGGACCTGGATCAGAACTGTTCCTTTCTCTTTAGGGATCACAACCTGGAGGCCTGATCCAGAAGCCACTGCCATGCGCTTACAGAGCCATTCACTGTGGCCCCTGCACTGAGCATTAGGAGAGGGTGCACACAGGCTGGCATGGTGCCAGGTGGAAGCCAGCAGCTCAGCCCCAAATTGCATACATGCTGCTAGACAATTCAGTTCAGTGCCCGCCTCCTCCTGCAGGCTTTGATATCAGTGGGCCCTGCTCTGTTAGATGAATCATTCATTCTCACCATCCATCTGTTGCTTTTCTATAAAACCAGAGGGCTGGATTCGATGTTCTATCTCAAAGGTCCTTTTCAATTCTAAAATGTTCTGAGCTGCAGTTTTCCAGACACTGGGCCTTCTTCTCGGGACTTGTAGCCAGTGATTCAGGTAGACAAGGTGACCACCCATCCTCAGTCATGAAGCCCCAAAAGGCCATGACCATGACCTTGTTTCTCTCTTTGTCCAACTACTGATACCTATGGAGCACAACCCATTAACTGCAGGCCGGTATTAAGGCATGAGGATGAAAAGCTGAGTTCTGTTCAATGAATAGATTTCTACTCTGTTGAGGATTAAGTAAAAACCCCTAAAAATTTTAGGGGAGAACCGAGTTCCAAAGCATACAAGGAAGGATTAATCTAAGTAAACTCAGGTTAGCTTCTGCTGATGTGCATTTTCTGCTCTAGGGAGAAGCAAAGATGATGAAAGATGGGAAGGTGTTCAGGGTGGTCCAAGAGAACTGCTGGGATCCAGAAGTCCGTGTCAGAGAAATGGACCAAACAGGTACTTGAAATGAGAAATAGCACCAATTTTTACATCTGATATAAAAGCATGTCTCTCCCAAAAGTCTGCTGACCACTTCACAGGATTTACATGATGGTAACTTCTATCGCCTTTTCTTCACTGGGCCAGGCTGCTCCAGCATCGCTGGGGGTGGGATGGGACCGGCTACTGCACTGTTTTCAGTGCAGATTAAATTTGTTAAAAATTAGGTAGACCCTATTTTAAAGGAGAATACTGTGTCATAAAAAATATAGAGTGTCATTTTATTATTTTAAAGCTTTTAAAGTTTAAATGTATAGTATTCACTTATTATAAAGTCAATTAAAACAGTAAAGATTAGGATTCACAGAGTAAAGATGCCAGTTTCCTGCTTAGTCAGATTGAGGATCCAATTTCTTCTGATTGTTTGTCTCAGTACACAGTACACAGAAAGTCCCTGTGGAGACATAAGGGGTGGAAATGGGAGCAATTAAAAACAAAGTTAATAGTGTACTCTCAGAATAGTCTACAATAAAACTAATTAAGAAATTTGAAAGAGGAGAATGGGGAAATTTTTGTTTCTAAGCTGAATCATTAATGATTTCTAAGGACTGCTTTACATTTCTTATCTTATGTTTAAAAAGCAAACAAGTCCCCACAATTTAAAGGAATTTTAAAGACTATCTGAAATATGCTTTGACGGCCGCACTGTGCTCGCTTGCTGCTGCCTGGCTGCTGGTGCCACCCAAAGGTGCACTGAGCCTTCTGGGCGCGCTGGCCGTGCTCGCAGGGAGCTCACCCCTGTGGAGGGGTGCTCACCACTACGACATTGTCAGGCCTAAATTTTGACATCAGTAGTCTAGATTTAACCAGAAAACAAGCAATTCATACCCACAAATGAAGGAGCAGCTTAGAACTACCACCTTCTTAATCAAAGATAAATGTATAAGAAGTTGAAATATATACACAGAGACAGCAGGAGACATTTTATTCCAGTCTACACAAAATGAGTTAACCTGTCAGCCCCAAGTGGGGAAGTGGTCTCTGGCATGCTAGAATTTGGGCCAGGATACTTTAGGCCAGGAACTGCTTTATAGTTCTTTTAAATAATTAAATGTATATTTAAATGACATTTAAATTGAACTTTGCAGAAAGCCTGAAGCACCTCTATGGGCTGTTCTACAGAACGCTGTGCCCATGCTCCCATTCTAGAAGTGCATGGGGCTGGGAGAGGAGCTAGAGAAAGAACATGCTTCTCAGACCCATGACAAAAAGCAAGCTTTTGTTTTGAATGTAAAGCTTGAGCAAAGTTCCTAACCCTCCTTTTGCCCCCTACCATTCAAGGAGAAAAACAGTGGAAAAGAGATTTGGATGACTGGTGTTGTTTTAGATGAAGGGTATCTCCTTAGGTTTTTGCTGTGTGTTTCATTCACTGGCTATCTCTGAGAAAGAAGTCATGACTATGCTGAGCATTCACTTTGTGCCAGACACTTCTCTTAGCACCCAACATGTATTTACTCACTTAATCCCTGTGACAGCCTTAGGAGGTAGCATTTATTACTATGCCCATTTTACAGAAGAAGAAACTGAGGAAGAGAAGTTAAACAACTGGTCCAAAATCACACAGTTTAATTTGTAGGGGCCAGAACCAGAATTTGAACCCCTGCAGCCTGGCCCCAGGGGATGAACAACTACATCCTACCACCTCTGCAGAGCTAAGAAAACAAAATGATGAAGGCCCAACACAGAAGATTCTAGCAATCCATGCCATCTCCACAGGGAGGAAAATGTAACTGGCAGCCCCTGGGTCACATCAGCACAAGATCCAACACAGAGCTAAGAAAGACCAAAATAATAACAATGAGATAATATACATGTAAGTGTCTCCTAAGTCCTCAACTAGGGTGAGTTCCTATTAAAGCTAGTTCTAGAACAGATCCAGGAAGGTCAGGATTGGTGAGGAATCCAGGCCAAGTGAGGGCTGGCATGGGAGAACAGTCCTTTGTGCAGAGGGAGGCTGAGAGGCCCCAGAAGAGTCAGGAGTAGTTCCACACACCTGCTCACTTTTAATCCCCTCTCAGTACCTCTAAGTGGCAGGCATTGTGGCACCTATTGTTACCGAAGGGGGCCAGGGTTTAAGGGATTGCTCAGGATCACACAGCCAGCAACAGCAGAGCAGAGACTGTAGCTAAGGCTATCTTTCTAGTTCCACCACAGAAGCTTTTCCCAAATCTCCCTCAGGATGATTGCCTGGGGTGCTGGTCAAATTTTTTTTCAGGCCCCATCCACTAAATGAAAATTTCTGAAGGAGGGCTTGGGAATTTGTTTTTACAATGTTCTGTAACTCCGCCCCCCCTTTTTAATCAATAAATAAATTTGAGAAACACTGTGCTATGTCATGCTGTTAAACCCCTCTATTATAAAATATATAAATTCTAATTGGATTAGACTTGTTTTCCCCATCTTGTTCCCAGAAACCAAAGAATATGTATCCAAACCAACCAATACACAAATAACACAATTTACTGTGTCAATATGAAGCATTGTGACAAGTGATAGCCACTAGGATGTAGGGGAGGAGCAAGGCTGGACAGGCACCTCATCACACCATTTTCAAAACAAGTGGCCTTAGGTCTAATCTATATAAGAGAAATGAGATAGAGTAATATAAGTGAAAGGTTTTTTTTAAAGATTTTATTTATTTATTTTTAGAGAGGGAAGGGAAGGAGAAAGAGAGAGAGAGAGAGAAACATCAATGTGTGGTTGCTGGGGGCCATGGCCTGCAACCTAGGCATGTGCCCTGACTGGGAATCAAACCTGCAATACCTGGTTCGCAGCCTGAGCTCAATCCACTGAGCTACACCAGCCAGGGCTATAAGTGAAAGTTTTTATGTAAAATGAAAAAGGTTTCACAATTGAAAAGTACTCATCTGTTTGATACTAATCAATGAATGTAAAAAATATGGCAATGTTTAACAATACTATCTTATCAAAAGCTGTAGTCTGTCATTTCCTGGGTATGTTCAATGTGCCAGGCACTGCTGGGTGCCGGTGTTATGGCATAGAGATGCAGGTTCATGTGGTGCTTACATTCAAGTAGGAGGAGACACAGAATAAACAAGTAAACATAGAAATAACAGCTTGCAATAACTATTAGAAAAGGAAAGGAATAGAATGATGGGATAGATAACAGTGGGAAGACCTCTCTGAAAAGGTGACATTTGAATTCAGACCTTAGGGTAAAAAGGAGCCCATCCTGTGGTGAACCAAAGTAAAGCATTCCAGGTAGGTAGAAGAGCAATGCAAAGGTCCTGGGGCAGAAAAGAGTTCCAAAGCACAGTCAGGAAGCCAACAAAGATTATGTGAGCCCTGGGAGAGACTGAATGGGGCCTTGTAGACCATGTTTGAGTCTGGATTTTACTCTAGCATGATGTAAAGTCCTTGAAGTTTTGACCAAGAGAATGACTTGATCTAAGTTTTAACATATTACTCTGATTTCTGAGTAGAGAACAAACCATAGGAGGACAAGAATGGTGGTAGGAGACCACCATTCAGAGCCTTCTGCAGTGGTCCACATAGGAGATACTGATGGCCCAGATTAAGTAGTGGCAGGGGATGGGATATGTGGGTAAATGCAGAACTGCAGTAGAGGTGACAGGTCTTGCTGGTGGGTTGGATGTGGGTATGAGGGGAAAAGGAGCAACCCTCCATTTAACAGCCTCTCTCCTGATACCCTAGCTCCAGGAGCTTAAAGACAAGATTCTAGGCATGCCAAATGCTGGATTCTGGAGCCGAATCCAGGCTCCCATTCTGAGCTGCAGAAAGTGGGACCCAGACCCACTAAGGAGCTGAATTAAGGTGGCTGAGAAATACATTTAGCCATAAATGACCTAAGATGAAAAGCCCTGAAAAAATTGCTAGGGAAATGACTTGCTTAAATAGAACTTCACAAAAAGGAGAGTGGAAATAACTCTTGACAAATGGGGTCAATTAGTTCTTCATAAACGACCTCATTTTTGTCCAGCCTTTAGCCCTCTTCCTGGAATCCAAGACTGAGGAATGAGGGAGGCCCGAAACCAGTGAGCCTGAGAGACAGTGGACCGGGAGGGGCAGCTAGGGAGGGGAGAGCAGGAGGAGGCCAGGGTGGAGAATTCCTGGGAAATGCAAAAACAGTGTCTGGCTACTCTTCTCATGAGCTTTGTATTTCTTTGTGTCTGTGTCCAGGAGTGACTCTGCAAGCCCTTTCTACGGTTCCTGTCATGTTTAGCTACTGGGTGAGTGTGAAACTTCAAACCATCTCATTAGTGGGTGAAGGCTCATGTCTGGCAAGTAGGTAGATGACTCAGGTCTTAACATTGCCCCACCTCCCCTCCACTTCTTTCCATCAGAGATCAGTGGGGTCCCTCAGCTTCTCACACTGCAGTGTGCCCTCCCAGGCCACTCTTCTTCGCCCTGTCCTTGCTCTAGACCCACATGGTCCAGTATCGTAGCCAGTAGCAGCGTGTCGCTGTGTGACTCCCACTGCGTTTCCCCTGGACAGCGCAGTTCTAAACCCAACCTTAACTTCCGTCAAAACTTACCTGTCTGATGACTCCTCCATACAGTGCCTTACTCAGTAATTAACAAGCCAATTTATTCTGAGGTGACAGTGATTTTGAAGTGGAAAGGTTAATAATGGCCTAATATGTTGCCTCTCCCAGGGAAATATGCGATTCAAACTAAGATTCCTGGATTTGGATGCTTTTCCCCAAGTGATTAAGTCTTGAGTGCTCGAAGTTTCAGGCACAACTGAGAGCCTGTGGAAGAACATCTTTCTTTGTACATAGCTGGGGATGCACCAAGCACCTACTCAAACTAGTAAATATTCACTTACATTATGATTTAAGGAGCAATGGAAACACCACCTGCTCACACCTACTCTGCCCACCTGTGCTCATAATTCCATTATTAGTGATCCAGTCTTTATTGTTCCTGTGATTAGATTTATGGCTTTAAAAATGCCCTTAAGATCTCAATATGTCTAAATTTATCAGATTGGGTATCACTCTGACTAAACAACTGGGATTGCAGGAGAATGCCAAATTTCCTGGCAGTGGGGTGAGAAGGTGTAGAAGGAAGAGTTAGGGGAAGAGAAAGCAAACTTCATCTGCATCAGTGTTTTGCTAAGGTAACTGTGAGTGCCACAGCCAACAGGAGGGCGAGGGAGAAGAAACAGGGACAGGAGAGGTGTATGAACACACTGATGTCCTACAGAGAGACATGACAAGGAGGTGCCCTGGTGATGTCAGGCAATGGTCAGGCCCAGCCTCCTGTATGGGGAGAGGGTTGCCTAGGTGTGCAGCTCTGCAGGCTCCTGTCTACAGTGAGTAGGGATGCCAGGCCCAGTAATCATGTCTATCCCTTAAAATTATAGCCTCAATATTTCTGATTCATCAGCAATACTAGCAGTTTTCTTTGCATTTGCAATGACTGGATTCTGGGTCTTCTGCAGCAAGTGCCTATCTCAGTCTGTGCCTGAGCTTGGGGGCGGGGCGGGTGGGGGGGCGCTGCAAGCCGCTGCAAGCCACAGATTGTGACAAGTGATTTAGCCTAGGGAAGGTGTTGTTCAGAGTAAATATCTAAAGAAGCAGGTTTTGAACGATGTGGTTTTCCCCTCCCTGTCTCCACCAGGCCAAACCTCAGGACACTTTAGACTTCTGCCAGTTTTTAAATGACGACTTAGCTGCTACTGTAGCGAGACACCCCAGGAGGTTCGTGGGTCTGGGGACGCTGCCCATGCAGGCCCCCGAGCTGGCCGTCAAGGAGATGGAGCGCTGTGTGAAGGAGCTGGGCTTCCCCGGGGTCCAGATCGGCTCCCACATCAACGAGTGGGACCTGAATGTGCCGGAACTCTTCCCTGTGTACGCAGTGAGTGTGCGGCGTTCAATCAGGGACCTCACAGCGGTGGGGCTGTGCTGGGTGCTGGTGGGAGGAGCACAGAGAGAGATAGATGACACGCTGACATGCTGAGATGTAGGAGGAAATGTGGAGAGAGCTCCCCCAAAGGAGCAGGCCGTTCCTCTAAAGAGGGGTGAGTGGGAATGCTTCCTAGGCCAGCCCTGACTTAACCCAGCGAAATCTCCTTTCTTCCCATCCATTTTTTCCTTTTAATCTTTCATTTGGAAGCCAAAATGTTACCCTTATCACAGTCATTGTGGAAAAGAAACATATTAATGATGTGCAAAAACAAAGTATTTTTGCTTTGGGAAAAAATACTTATTTTTCAAAATTGTAAGATGATTTTGAAGAAGTTGTGGGAAATACAGGAGACTGTAAAAAGGAAAACATGTTCTATAATCAAAGTAACCCATAATTCTACCACCCAAAGATAAATAACCACTGCCATAATATATTTCATTTGTTTTTTATTTGCATATACCTATATTCTACTATATATGTGATTTTTGTATCCTAATTGAGAATTCCCACCCCAAATAAAAAGTCTCTTAATGCATGATTTTTTAATACTTGTATAATATTCCAATTAATGTTTTGATTTATTTAATCATTCCTCAACTAAGATACTTTTTAAGCCATATACAGGGTTCTGGCACAAATAACGCCCCTTTTTATTATGAAAACTTTTACTACAAAACATAAGCATGTAACTCTGTAACATAACAATATCACACTCAAGCATAACATATGACATTTTAGGTGAAATGTTCAAATTGCTGTCTTTGATAACAATAAATAATAAATAAATAATAAAACCACACTCAAGCAGGTGTTACTTCTGCTGGAGCCTATATTTTGAAAATGCATAATAAAAATACATAACAAAAAATAATGCCACCAAAACATTAGCATCTGATGAAACTAGATGGTGCATTTATATTCATTGTACTATTATTTAAATTTTCAATATTTGAAATATCGCATAAATAAATATATTTTCAAAAACTCAGTGCCATGTATTTCTGAAGGATCCAACTAAAGTCCTCTCCATTGGTCTTACTCTACCTCCCAGCCTTTCTGCAACTGAACATGCTCTCCTCGGTACCAGGACTCAAGATGTATAATTTTATATTCAACTATGTTTTTAAGCTGTTTATTTTTCTCCTAGAATTATGATAGTATTTATTATATCAGTAATAGTTTTCTATTATTTTCAGTGTGAATGCAAAATCTTCAATAATGAATTAAATAGATGTTAGTGGACTCACCAGGCACTGTAATCACTGATATTTATTCATTTATTATCATCTGTTGATCTCTGACTACATGGGAAAAAATTCCCATTTTTGTACCTATTGGCACTGCCCACCAGTTGGGGGATTGCACGTTAAATTGCCTCCTACTGACCTGAAAGATTTAATGTTCCTCTAAATATTGAACTCCCCAAAGCTTATCAGCTGCAGTGACTAAGCTAATGCAGTGAATGAATGTTTTCTAGAAACTTTAATGAACTTTGAAAGAGGATTTATTTACTTGTGCATCCAAGTTTTTTCAGCACAGTGTGAGCAAACCTTTAGCTGCAAGTCATTTCATTATTCATTGAAATTGGGTTTATGAATTACTAAGGGGCTCAGAAAGCAGCAGTAGCTGAGTGGGGTCCAAAGGGATAATATTTCCATTTGTGTGACTAGCTCAACCCATCCATCACTTTAACTAGGCTGTTTGGGGGCTCGTAGTCTCCAAGGGGATCTAGGAGAGCAGCCCAGGCCCAGCAGACTTCTGATGCCCTGGGTTGACAGCACATTTGTTTGGGTAGCAAGACTTGCCAGCCTCACTACTCTTTTACTTGCGTCACTAACATGGGCTGAAACAAATAAGAAGGGTTACCATGGGCAAAGTTGGCTTTGTCATTTCAAGGTCAGCCTGGAGCTCCAGAGCATCTAACTGTCCCCCTTATTTCTTAGATCTCCCTTCTTAGTGAGTGAACCCAACAATACACATTCATGTCAGTTTTCAGGCACAAAAATGACTTTGTTATGAGTATGAGGCAGATAGAATGGTAGTAGCAGACTACCTGCCTCTATCATTCATCAGCTTCAAGACCTAAGAAAGTTACATAGCCTCTATCTGCCTTTTGCTTTTATCTCTGTAAGATGGGAGTAATGCCCAGTGCTCATTTCATTAAAAAAATTAGCCCTGGCTGGCATAGCTCAGTGGATTGAGCGCGGGCTGAGAACCAAAGTGTCACAGGTTTGATTCCCAGTCAGGGTACATACCTGGGTTGCAGGCCATAACACCCAGCAACCTCACATTGATGTCTCTCTCTCTCTCCCTCCCTTCCCTCTCTAAAAAAAATAAATAAATAAAATCTAAAAAAAAAACCCAAAACACAAAAACAGTATGTGGGCTAAATTTAAAAAAAAAAAAAATTAAACTAGTTAATAATTGTAAAGTCTTATAATAACTTTGGCACACAGTAATTTCTCAGTTAATGTGAATTATGATCTTGAGAACATAAATGACTTCTGTTTCTATTCTCTGCAATAGTTCACATATAAAAGGTGACCAAAGATATTTGCTAATTTGAATTGAATAGAAATGAACTATTGTAGGCCATAGAATCAACTTTTGTACTAATGAGGAGTCAAATCCCATTGAGATATCATATTAAGTGTCTTGGTCAAGCCCAAACTACCCCAAGAAGCTGATGTTTTCTTCCAGCCTGCACCCATAATGAGATTTATATCAGAGTCACTTCAGCACCCCAATATATTTAGGAAAGAAATGTGCTAAGAAAAATGTGTTTTTTACCTTGATAAGCTTTAATATTTCATGCCTGTTGAGGGAACTTTTTAAAATTAAACATTTTGTTGAATAAAGGTCATTCCATCCAGATGGTATTTCCATTTCCCAGAAGGCCCTGGAACAGGTTCGCCTAATGGCCTTCATTTCAGTACATGCCTGACTGAGGCACTGAGAGCTTTTTCCTTTCTAAAGTCATTTCATTCACACCAGACTATTTAGGAACTCAGCTGGGCTCCTGAGGCTTTGTGGGAGCCAGCAGACCCCAGAAATCCCCACCCAGAATCATGCTGTGAGAGACTGGAAGGCTTCAGTCAGGCCAGCCCACTCCAGCCCAGTCCTGAACCCCTGACTCGCAGGGCATCATTCCCCGCTTTCCACATCCTCAGGTTTCCAAGTAGAGGAAGGGAGGGAATGCTCCAGTCCTGGCTCCAAAGATACAGTCTGAGCAGTCTTTACAAAAGAGGAGACCAGGAAGGAACCAGCAGGGGAAATTTCCCCAGCATTTGAGGTACAAGATCAGTCCTTACATGTTTTGCTCTCAGCCAAAACATTTGAATGATTGATGTTTCCTGTGACTTGTTTTGCCAAATGATATATTAAATTCATCAACCTCAATGGTAAATTCACAACCCCCTTCTTAAATCTAAGTGTCCCTTTTATTTTCCAAGTAGGAGCAGGGTTTAACAATGACTCTTTTATGAAGATCAGGAAACAACTTCAAAAATATTTTGGTTTATGTATTCAGATCAATATAGACTTAGAGAAAAGCAATTTCCCTAAAATAGTATCCTGTACCTGCTGGCTCATCCAAATAACTCTCTCTCTCTCATTCCTTCTTTGAAGGCAGCTGAAAAGCTGAACTGTTCCCTATTCGTGCACCCCTGGGACATGCAGATGGATGGACGGATGGCCAAATACTGGCTCCCCTGGCTCGTAGGTTTGTGTCAGCTTGGAAGTCTAAAAAAGAGGATCTAATCCTTATTTTTCCCAAATCTGTGGAACACTATTATGTCAAAGAAAGAAAGTATGAATTATTAACAGGATTGTGAGTTATCGAGCTCTTACTCAGATCAGTGCTGTATATACTACCTCATTTCATTTTAATCATATCCACAGAAAACTCTTTGAGGTTGACATCACAATAACCATTTTATAGATGGAGAAACTGAATGTCAGAGTGATTAGGAAACCTTTCCAGGTCACACAGTTAATAAATGAAAATGGAATTTACACAGATCAGTCTGAGTCCAAAACCATTTCAATCCACAGACTACCACAAAGGCTCCCCCCAAATAAGTAGCCATGCCTGGTTAGTAGAATTTTTTTAGAAGCCAATAATAGCATCAATGCTTACAGATGAGAACCCTGAAATTAGGAGTGGAAGGTCTCCTTACACTACCCAAGGATCTGAGGCCCTACACTGTACTCTTTGCCTCCTGCTCTAGTCATTCATGGTTTCATATGAGGGAAAAGGAAAGAGGAGAGATCTCCATTTGACCTATCCAATCACTCACTATCATACCTGATAAGAAAAAAAATGAAGAAAGATTTAAAATTCTGGGGCCATAAGTAAAAAGTGCACTCATCTACAAGCCCAAGGAAAAGTGGTCCCAAATGAACAGCATTTGATTTTCTTTGGGAAGCAATTGTTCATTCTCCTCTCAGCATCATTAATACAAATAATTAAAAACTGAGCCTCAGTTCCAGCTAGTCTACTTTTCTGTATAACCTGTGACAAATTACTTCACCCCCTCGGGCCCTTGTTCCTCATCTCTAAAATGAGAGAGCTGATTTGGATTCTCTTTCTGCTCTGATATTTTATGCCCCTAGCATTGCTTTTGGAAACCAGCATATTTAGCAATGCAGCTTCCTATCTACTCCCCACCAAATTTTTGAGCAGCAGTTAGGAGAAAGAGATAATCTAAGGAGCCCCAATGCTTTCCAGGTTCGAAGAAAATCTCATCCTAATTCACACAACACTTAAAGTACATGCACGGCTATGTCTTCTGGGACTGGAAGGCAGTAGAAGAACTTTTCCCTTTGTCAGTCACTCTTGCTAGCTTCATGCATACTCCATGCAAGTCCACAAACTTATTTACATTGCAAGTCCCCACATGAAAAGCAGAGGAGAGCATTTGCGTAAAAGTTCATTTCATCATTCATTTATGTAACATATATATTGATCTCCTCCAGAATGTCAGACCCTATCCTAGGCACCAAGAATATAGACATGGACAAAACCCCTGCCCTCCTGAAGCTTATGTACTGGTTAGAGGTGAAAGACAATATACGAGCACACAGATCATAACCAGTAAACAGGCTAATTTCAGAACTCTTTTCTGCATTCAAAGGTGGTCATTAGTGGACTGGAGAATTCCCAGCAGGGGCCATAATCAATTTACACTGTAAATACTCTACTTTGGCTCCTGGACGAGGGGTTATGGTCCAAGTAATTAATAGAAAGCAGAATCACAGGACCAAAAGCAAGTGATGCTGTTCATCTCCCTGCCGTATGGAAGCTTTGCCCACTCCCGGATGGATGTGAATCCATGGTGCTTCCAGAATTCCCAAGAAGCCAGGGAGCCATGGGCATCTCTGTCCATGGAGCAATGGGGTAGGATGAACATCTGCTAAAGCCTCATTAGGCAGCCAGAGAATCATGAAGATGTAAGAAGATGTAAGGCTCAGCTATGGAGCCCCCAGAGACTTCTTAATCACAGTCTGAAAAGCAATCATCTTGTTTGATTGTGGGGTTTGGCTTCCCGCTGCCACCCACAGGCACATTCCAAACACAAAAGTTGGTGGGAAGGAAAGAGGCCTTTACTAAAACACTGCAAAATTTGGGGGGCCAATCTCTTTCTCAAAACCCAGACAAAGCCCATTTGTTCCAAAAAAGACTGAAACCCAAAACCATGCCCAGAAATCCTGCTCCATCCTTATATCTCTTCTAGAGCCCGAGACTGCTAAGCAGATGGCTCTCCAGTTCCAAGCTCCCTCCCCGTGGTCCATGTGTGGGGCCAGCACACCATCAGCACGCACCTTCCAAAACCAGCCAGTCCTGCAAGGGCTCCAGCCCACACATGTGTGGCAGTGCGTCCCAGAGAGAAGAGAGAGCATTTCTCCCTTCCTTTGGTTTAAATCTCCTGACCCAAACTTCCATGCATTCCATAAGGGTCCAGTTCCCACAGCCAATCCCATCCTTTTCCCAGGCTAGACTGACCAGACAGCACTTCCCCCTGCACCCATGTTGACCTTTATGGTACACATTCAGCTATGTCCTCTGGGACTGGGAATTTGACCTTTATGGTACACATTCAGCTATGTCCTCTGGGACTGGGAGTAGGAGGGTTTTTCCCTCTGTCAATCAGTCTTGCTAGCCTCACATGTGCTCTGTGCAAGGCCTCCAGGACATCTATGCCTGGGGGTAGAAAAATATGGCATCACATGCAGTGCTAACAGCACGGTTTCAGTTGCACTGCCTCAGGCATTTCCTGTGGCTCCTCCCTCACTCTGGGTGGCATGCCAGTATCAATCTGAAAAAGTAATCCAGGCTGACTCCATGGAAGTAAAGGCATCAGTCATGAAACAGCTGCTTCTAAGATCACAAAGCACTTGAAATAATTCTCTTTAGCCCATTTGTATGCAAAAATCCATTGGTGGAAAAAACTGGATTAAAACTGGATTTAGTTTTTCAACCTCAGCTCTAAGAAGAAAAAATTAGGAAGTAATAATATTAGGCAATATTTATTGAGAACATACTAAGTGGCAAGAGCTAACCATTATCCCCATCTTATACATGAGGAAATTGAGGCACAAGGAGGCAACTAATATTTGTTGAGCACCTCCAATGTGAAATCCTGGCCAAGAACTTTCCCGACATTATCAATTGCAGGGCTCCACAATAGCCTTGCAAGATGAGGAAGACTGTCCCCACCTCACAGGTGAAGAAGCACAGGCTCAGGAGTTCTAAATAATTTGTCAAAGTCTGGAAAACAAAACATTGGAGAAGTTAGGGTATAGCCCAGATGCATTGTCCTCTGTTGCCCCACTGCATCCAAAACTGAAGCTTGGAGAAGCCGGACAAAAGCCAGGTCCTCTGGCTCCTTGGCTATTCTGCCATTAGATGACTGAGTCTGCCTGCACATGGAAAACAGAAAGCATCAGATGTTCTGCCTGCCAAGGTCCCAGCATGCAGACAACAAAGCCATGCTGGGGCACAGGGACCCCATGTTTCGGCACTGACTGCTATTCCCCAGCCATGAGTGTCACTGAACCTCTAGCTAAAGGTGACAAGCCTTGTACCTTGTGACTCTTTCCTCTTTTAGGAATGCCAGCGGAGACCACCACAGCCATTTGCTCCATGATCATGGGTGGAGTGTTTGAGAAGTTTCCTAAACTGAAAGTATGCTTTGCACATGGAGGTAAAGACCCCATTTGTACTAGTCAGCTCAGCTGCTATAGCAAAATACCACTGCTAGGTGGCTTCAACAACCAGAATTAATGTTTTCACAGTTCTAGAGTCCCAAGATCGAAGTGCTGGCAGGGTTGGTTTCTAGTGAGGCCTCTCTGTTCCTGGATTGTAGAAGGCCATCTTCTCACTGTCCTCACACTGTCTTTACTCTGTACATGCACAAAGAAGGAGACGGGAGGGGGAGAGAGAGAGAATGAGAATGATCAGTCTATTGTTTCTTCCTCTTTTTATGAGGACACCAATTCTATCAGATTAGGGTCCTACTTTATGTTCTCATTTAACCTTAATTATTTCCTTAAAGGCCCTATCTCCAAATACAGTCACACTGGGAGTTAGGGATTCAACATATGAATTTTGGAGGGACACAATTTAGTCCATAACATTCTTTCTGTAATTATTCTAGTCATAAAGTATGGGATAGTTCAGGGACCAAATTCCATTTTTGCAGATAAGTTTAGTTTGGTTGGCACAATTTTTGCTTTATTTTGTTTTGTTTTTTATTTAAACCTCTTGTCAGACTACAAACTCTCCAGTTTGCAGTAATCCCTACCATTCACTATTGTTTACAAATAGACCTATTTCATTCATTTACATTTCCTGCTTGGTTCCTGTAGGTAATTCAGTTTGTGACTCATAGACATTCAGACACACGCAAAGTTTACCTGCAGCTCTCTAATCTGCTTATGCTTCTCACCAGCATAGAGAAATCTTTTCCTGTCACTAAGTAAGGCTTCATCACTTTTGTTGGTTACATGCAAGGCAATACATTTTATAAATATACCATCACAGGTTACCTTAGTATTTTATTATTATAACAATGATACATTTGAAAACTTTGACCACGTATCTTTACATACTTGTCTTCTCTCTAGAATAAATTCCTCAAATCTGAATCTCTAGATGAATTCATGTTATTTCTCCTTGGTCCTCTCTCAGTGTTTGGAACCCAGCAGGTCCTTTGCTACTGTTAACCAGCTGGGCTATAGTGACTTCTCTTTGCACACAACATGAGGATTAAAAAGAATCCTTTTCAATGGAAGCAAGCCTCTCAGTAAGGAATTTACTTGCAGGTGGAGCCTTCCCCTTTACAGTAGGAAGAATCTCCCATGGATTCAGCATGCGCCCAGATTTGTGTGCCCAGGACAATCCAATCAACCCAAAGAAATACCTTGGTTCCTTTTACACAGACTCCTTGGTTCACGATCCTCTGGCCCTCAAGCTGTTAACAGACGTCATAGGAAAGGTAAGCTGTGGCTGCCACTTGGATGGCTTATAGATAGCAGAGGGCAGGATCAGCAACCAGTTACTTGGGTTCTTTCCAAAAACCAGCCAGAAGAAAAGGCAACTGAAAGAACAGGGACAGTGAGGTTTTACAGCCAAGTCCAAGGCCCAAGCTGCCGGTCACTGGTCAACCAAAAAGCAGAGGCAGGGACTGGATTATAACTGCTCTGTTATTAATATCAGAGGTCAGCTGTCTGAGAAGGTGGCAGGTAAAAACCCAAACATCCACTTTCCCTTGAGCTTTCAGAAGCAAGTTTATACAGGGGGGACGCGGGAATTTGGGAGGGGGCAGTCCCCAGGAGGAGCACAGACTGGCCGTTTCTGGGAGTAGGAGGAGAGGGAGCTGAAAGGGGAGTCCCACAGTTTCCTCTCAAGCCGGCTCCCTTGGTTCTGTTGCTATCTCGCCGTTTGCATTAGGATGCCTCTCTTCCCTGAACACTTTTGGTTTAAGGTCTAGGAGGTTCTGTATTCTCTGGTTAGGGAGGAGAGGCATAAACCATTTATTCTCAAATGTCCTTGGTTAGGGGAGACAGAATCTTGTGATTCACCAGCTGGCTGTAAATTGCTCAAACTGTCTGGCATTGTTTAACTTTGTCTCAGTTTCCCCATTCCACTTGCCCAGGAATTTTTCTAGCTTCTTACCATCCTGTCTCAGTTTGGAACTAGTTTGCACAGGGGATTGGACGCAGAACATACTTCACCACAGATTGAGTGTCACCAGGGAACCAGTACAGATGCCAGGGAATTCCCAGATAATCCACATGATGGGGGAGTTTCCCAGATCAGCTCCTTTTCCTTAAGGTCATGACACATCATGATCTAGTAAGCAGAAAAGAGCCACCAGTTTTGAACTCAAATTGACCTGGATTAAAATCCTGGCTCTCACTCTTACTGACAAGGTAAATTATGAACTCAACTGTCCTTATTCACTAAGTGAAGAAAATGGGAACATTAAAGAGGGGGAACATGGACCACCTGAAATTTCTTTCTGAAATAACATGGCCTTCATTTTGAAAATGATTATCTCATTTGGCAAAAGAGATCAGCCTAGTTGTACTCTAAATCTCACAAGCAAAAAATCTTTCCTGTCTTGTGGTCTGCTAGCAGTCTCTCTGTTGGCAGCATCTCCACGCTTAAGTGTTCTTTAAAAATGCTAACTCAGCAAGTTCAGACAATTTTAGATGAAAGGCCAGCCTGATTAGTGAAAAGTCTGAAATATTTAGTATTTTAATTCTGTTTTATAACCAACAGATATCTATGAAGGTTTTCCAGATTTTCTCAAGGAAAAAAAAATATGTGGGGTTTTCTAAAAGAACATGGACATACTTAAAGATTTGCAATATGGTACTTGAGTTGAGAGTAGACTCAAAGGTATTTCAATTCTTGTTTAGCTAAAAAAAAGAAGTCCATCATTTGAAAGGTACAAGTAGTGTTCTAGCTCAAAAATGGAGACTTCATCTCACTTTGAAGCTGACTGCCTCCCTGGCTGGAGAAACTCTCTAGAATATAAATGTGTAACATTCTGGCTTGCTAATAAATAATGTGGCTGAGATGTGTTTCTGAGCCTTCGAGCTTTTTGTGTTGTCCCTGACAAAATAGGTGCCTAGCAGCTGGTTGTGACTGTTAATTGTTTTTGGTTTAGACAGAGAAATTAGGATCAGGTATGTAAACAGTGTTAGGGTGGTCAGTGGTGCAGGCTGTGGAAGAATTCACAAAGAAAAGAAAGTGTAGAGAATAAAGTTTTTATTCACTCTCCAAGAAAGGAGAGGGGGCATAGTGTGGAGAGATAGACCAGCATTGAGGGATGATGGCTTTGAATTTTTATCGCATTATAATTGGATTAAAAAAGGGCGGGGCTTGCTATTCTGTGGCCCCTGGGCTACTGCTGCATTGTAATATGAGGCTGCTGTTTGTTCCAATGTTTTCTTCTGCCTGTGGCTGTAGGGAGCGGTTAGTTCTGCTCTTGCTTTCCAGTAATTTCCAGTCCTGGGGACAAGTGCAGAAGAGTAAAATGGCAGTCATGTTCAACAAGGTCACAGGCCTGCTAGGCAATGGTGCCACAGTAGCAAATGGGGTGGCTTTGTTCTTTCAAGCAGGAAACTGCAAAGAGGAGAATCTGAAAGAGACTGTACACTCTGGACTTGGAGCAATGAGAGAGGGGAAGTGGGAAAGTGGTGTGGAATTTGGGACAGAGTCATTCTGATTATCTCTCATCAAGCCTAGTACTCCCTGGTTTTCTTGGAAATGGCAAAATCAGGGGAAAACATCCTTGGTGAATAACACACTGACCTTAAGAGAAATACCATCAACAGTGAGGGATACTGTCAGTGTGAGAGTAGTTCAAACAGCATTCAGGGCAATACATACTGGCCAGGAGAAGAGCAGAAGTAGAAGACATGGCAAAAGCCTTGTGGACAAACTAGGTGTATATGAGTCCCTTTTAGGGACCCACAAAAGACCTCAGAGGGCACTCTGCAAAGTTAGTGGTCCTGAGATTTTGCCTTCAAATTGTGAGGATTTGAGCCATTATAATTTGGGCATCCAAAATAAATGTGACCCCATTTTACATGACCTCACAGGCTGGTGAATTTAGGACATTGAAGCTGTATATATAGTAATAATTTAGGATTCCCTTTAAAATATTAATGTTTCCTCATTCTAGTTATATTCTTATCAACAAATTCTCTCAAAAACAGTTCCTTTAAAATGGCTAAGGAAAGTCCCAGCAGGATGTCAGGCTGGACTAGAGAGCAGCTGCCCAGATTCCATGGAAAGGACAGAATACTGTGGAGGGAGGTTTCCAGGATGGAAAAAAGGAACTGATGGAACATTTGATGTGTTCGAGAAGTTGAAACAATGCTTGCCAGGCATTAAACTGTTGACGCATTAGGGACAGACAAGCAGTGCATGCACTGAAAATTAAGCAAATAAAAGGAAAGGAAATAATTAATTCTAAGAAAACAAACATCCATATCATGCAAATAATCACTGTACATAACAAGCTGTGAACAATATTTACAGCCATAATAGTGTAAACACTGAATACTGTTTTAACTGAAAATTGTAATTCTACTGAAAAAATGGAGAAAAGAAGTTAGGGTGAGAAAGAAATTCGTACTGATCATAATGGGAAGTCAGCAGATACAGTAAATATTCTCTGAAGCTAACAAATCAAGAAACAATACTATATGCTTATTATCTGAAATTATGAGGGTAATTATCAAAAGATACAGGTTAAAAAGGTAAAGGTGGCTGCCTTGGGGGTCAAGAGGTGGGAAAGTGGGCCCAGGACTGCTTTTGATAAGAAAGATATTCATAATATATAACTAACTATGCATGGGAATTACTTTGATAAATCAAAATTTAAAATAATACCATAAAATGAATAGTCGTATGTCATATAAAAACAAAACCACTTACTGACACCTACTATTTCTAAAATACTGTGCTAAACAGATAAATTATGTAATCTCTAAGCTTCTTTCCATCTCTAAGTTTCTTTATTTTTAATCTATGTGTATTCATTTTTTAAGACACACACTAAAAATACTGGTTATGTGTTATCAGTCTACCACTGTGAAAATTATGAAAAAAAAGGAAAACCTATTGCCTCCCTACAGAAACATGATCACAGAAAATTCCCTTTATGTATTTAGTTGGATAGATTTTTGAGAGGTCATCATCTCCCATTATGGTTATATCATGATTTTGACTCTATCCACTGGTAACCTATTACTGCATAAGTACTTACACCAACTCAGCCTATCTCAGGCTCTCCCATGAGGTCACAGGCAAGCAGTCAGTCAGGGCTGCCATCTCCTGAAGGCTGAAAGGTTTATTTCCAAGGCACTTTTTACACATGGATGGCACACTGGGTCTGGGTTTTGGGAGGAGACCTCAGTTTCTCCCAAGCTGGTGGTGTTTCTGCTAATACAATCCCTTAAAAACTTTACAAGTCTCTTAGGAATCTTATCAGATTTCATACCATTAGGCAAAAACCTTACCCATAAATCTGAGAAAGCCTTTCTCTACCTTTGATCTCTTGGAATGATGCTAAGGGACAATCCTGCAAGCTACATAGAAGCCCTTATTATCTGACAGAATGCTTCTTTGAGGTGCTTCCTTAAATCTTTCGAGGTCATGATGAAGATAGTATAGTTGTTACAGTCTACAGGGGGTTCCTCCCCACCTATCTGGGTTCATTTTGCCCGCTGCCTCAGCAGGTGGAGGTGAAGGAAAAATGTCTCTTAATACCAGAGATCAGTGAAAAGGAAAGGAATTTATTATTCACTTGAAATAACACAAACTAAAGTTCCCCACAAATGCACATAGTCCTCCCGGCACCCTCCATGTGGAAAAAGGGAGTACCTCCAAAGCCTCGTGGTCCTGACTCTCACCCAAGCCTCATAGTCCCAACCAAGACACCAAAGCCACGTGGTCCTAAGCAGACGTGTGGTCCCAAAAACAGAGACGCCCAATGGCTGCTGTGTCTCCATTTAAATCCCAGCGCTAATCCTCTGCAGCCCCATTTCCACCTCCTCTCACAATTGGCCACAGCTGCCAGCATTCTGGGCCGGTGTAGCCCTGTGGTGTGGAGCCAATTATCTCCAAGTTCTTCTGGACCCTATTACAAATCCCTGTTTGGGGCTCCCCTCTTGGCTGCACCCTGTTACATAGTTACATCTCGACTTCATTTTTAGACTATTTTTTTCTAATTATGCCCTGGATTTAATCTTTGCCAGAAAGCCAGCTCTACTTTCTGCATCATTTGCCATTGAAGAGCTGGGAATTTTCAAACCATCAGTTCCTGACTTATATCGAACAGTTCTTCCTTTAAAGCACCCCCCTTGCATGTTACCATAAGAAGCAAGTAGTTGACAGTGTTCCTATTTTTTTTTTTTTGCCACTACATAGCAAAGTTCTCCTTTCCTCTAGTTTCCAGCAACATTTTTCTCATTCTCC